TCGGCCACCGCAGGACTTGGCCCGCTCGCATGGCCACCGCAGGACTTGGCCCGCTCACTCGGCCACCGAAGGACTTGGCCCACTCGATCGGGCGCTGCAGGACTCGGCCCACTCGCTCTGGCGCCACAGGACTCGGCCCATTCACTCGGGCACCACAGGACTCGGCCTGCTCGCTCGGCCACCGCAGGACTTGGCCCACTCGCTCGGCCACTGAGGGACTCGGCCCACTTGCTCGGGCACTGCAGGAGTCGGCCTGCTCGCTCGGCCACTGAAGGACTCGGCCCACTCACTCAGCCACAGCAGGACTATGCCCACTCGCTCGGCCACTGAAGGACTTGGCCCACTCGCTTGGGCACCGCAGGACTCCGCCCACTCACTCAGCCACAGCAGGACTCGGCCTGCTCGCTCGGCTACCGCAGGACTCTGCCCACTCGCTCGGGCACTGCAGGACTCGGCCTGCTCACTTGGCCACCGCAGGACTCGGCCCACTCGCTCGGCCACTGCAGGACTCGGCCTGCTCGCTCGGCCACTGCAGGACTCGGCCTGCTCGCTTGGGCACTGAGGGTCTCGGCCTGCTCGCTCGGTCACCGCAGGACTCGGCCTGCTCACTCCGCCACTGCTGGACTCGGCCTGCTCGCTCCGCCACTGAGGGACTCGGCCCACTCGCTTGGCTGTGGGCTCCAGTCGCAACCCGTCTCCCTCGACTTCCCTCTTCAGGCAGGGCAGGACAGTCAAAGATTGGTGGGGGCTTGGGGTGTGGGGGGAAAGCTACAAAGAGGAGAAAAAAGAAAGAAAAAGAAAAAGAACCCATGAGTAGAGGAGCTCTGACTGGAGCATGGCGGAGGCTGGTAAAGTTACAATATTTAAAAAGCATCTGGATGGGCCTATGAATAGGAAAGGTTTAAAGGGATATGGCCAAATGCTGGCAAAATGGGACTAGATTAATTTTGGAAATCTGGTCGGCATGGACAAGTTGGGCCAAAGGATCTGTTTCCATGATTCTATGATGCTGCTTGGCCTGCTGTGTTCATCCAGCCCTGCACCTTGTTGTCTCGGATTCTCCAGCATCTGCAGTTCCTACTATCTCTGTTTCCATGCTGGGCTGCTCTTTGACTCTGTGACTCTAATATGCACTGCTGTTTTCATTGGGAGAGTCTGTCTGTTAACTCTGTTTCTCTCTCTACAGATGCTGCCTGATCTTCTGA